CTTATCGACAGACAAGCGAAACTACAACCATGTGTGTTTCATTATACAACGCTTTAAATCTCTCTCGATAGATCGCGACCTGCTCGCCGCTCGCAGGAGGAACGCGGAGAATTTGAGGATCGTGCTCGAGAATTTTTCGACGTAGCTCAGTGTGAATTCTTTAAATTTTCCGCACCTTTTCCGAAAGGCGCCGTTTCTCTCTGAGTGAGTCTTTATTCTTTTTCATTGAAAAGTGTTTCTCCCAGACGAGAAATCAGATGCTGCGTCAGATTAATATTTTGATATTCGAAATAATTCGAAATTATTTTCGCGCGTAGAAATACAAGCTCCCTCCGTAGACTTTATTCGCTTATATTTGCATTATCTTTTTACTCGCCTGGCAGCTTTCCCAATATAAATATAATAGACGTTTACACGAAATAGAATCTCGTTTCGTGCGAGATTCTTGAACAGAAGTGACGAGTCGCCAGAGATGGACAGAATATTCTGCATTCCGTCGTGTTGGCGTGCCTCATTTTCTATTCATCGACAATTACTACCTTCTCAACTAGCAGTCGGTGTTGGCTTCCGTGCGATTAGCATCGGTCGTTAATGTTATGCGTTTGAAAAATTGCCTCCCCTAACGATTTTGATTATCGTCGCGATAATGCGTCATCCGCTTAATGATGTGTTTTTACGCGCGTCGATTCTTCCTTTGGCACGGAAGAGATGCGTTCTTAATGACATATCAATAACATCTCCGTCTTATCGTCATCCTTCTTCTCGTCGTCTCGGCTATTAATTATCTAAGCGACCGACAGGAGTATTCCTGGAATATTTACCGGCAGGATGCTTCCTCAAAGATGCGGAATTCCGTTCTTTCTGAAACGTTACGTTCCAGTGCGAACGAGAAGTACATCAAGCAAGACTTACGGATAAACAATCCGTCGGTCTTTGCCGCGATATTTGTGTTTCATTGTCGCCAACGCTCGCGCGCGATTTCCTTGCGGAATTAATTTCTTTTTTTTACGAGCCTTCCGAGAACGCGCGATATTAGCGCCGTGGCGCAATCAGGTTTTATGCATTTATTGTGAGGCGAAGAGAGATGAGGAGATTAATTGGGTGGCCATTCTCGCCCGAAATTAAAATTTAAAATTTCCGCGACGTTTACGCGCGCGAAATATTGCGCACGAGGAGCAACAGTATAGTTTCTCTCGTAAGAAATTCTCACCTCTCAAAGGCGTCTTATATCATTCTCTACAGCATCGCGTATACGAAACTAGAGGGATCCGCCATTACAACATTGAAACCAGCAACGATCGACGTTTTCGACGGAAACAGTCGAAAGACTAATGTTTGAAAGATGTGTAGCGCAAGGATAAATATTTACTTATTTTTGTTGGTTTTTATCCGATGCCAATTAAAAACACAAAATGCATAGTCACCAAGAGTCCGAGTGTCTTTTATAAGGAATTGCTGAGAAGTTACTTTGACTTTCCTTCGGCACTTCCAGTGTCAAGGGTCGAAGTCGAAAGCCCCGGCAAACGCGGGGCTTTCGGAACCGTAAAACTCGTTGCAATTATATAGATTTCGTCTCGCGATATCCACCACGCGATACTTTACCTTCGTTTATTATCGCGAGCCGTGGAACGCGCGACATAATTTATTCACGGGCTCGATGATTTACCGTAAATCATGAATAATTGACTCGCTCACCAAGTGCTTAACGATTATCTGCGGCTCGTCATTTTTTATTGTGTCAGAATCTAAGTCGATAGAGCCGACGATTCAGCCGGTTCCATATTAATTCGCTTCGGCGTTCTGTCCCGAAGTCCAGTTCTGTCACGAAGGTTTTGTACGAAGGCGACGCGCAATATCGAACAGCGAGATCTAACACATAAAATCGCTCTTCGATCGCGATTCGTCCGCGATTCACCGCGGCGGTCATCAAAGCGGCAAACAATGTACTTCGCCGGCGGTGCGACTTTACGTCCAAGTAATTTTCCCCGATCCTGCGAATTCTCGCGCTCGCTAATGCGAATTACGTAAAGCCGCTCGTTTTTCCGCTGCCCGGAAGCGCGCGTGCGTGTTCGTCCTTCGCCGTATCGCTTCGGAGGATCTCTGTATACCTAATTCCGCCTGTCCGCCTAATTTCGCACGGTGAATCCGGCCGTTCGTCCGGACGAGTTGCTAAATATTTCGGTAAAGATCCCTCTCGGGAATACTTGCTCTCCGCGATATGTATTCGTTAGGTTCGCGTCCGGGCGATCTGGTGCTCGCGTATCGTACAGCGTTAATCTATCAATGCGATCGCGTCGGCACGACAAATCAATCCGCTCGGGTCGCCAACTTTTTCTCAGCGGCGCGGTGGGACGATAACGAGTGAAAAATGGTTCGTTAATCGATAATCGATAAGAGAGATAATTCGCGCATTAAGATCCTTCGGAATTGACGAGCCGCGCCTCGCGTGGGCCTCCCGCATTGTTCCTTCTCTCATCGGCTTTCGGACGGGCCATTAATCCGCGCAGAATATCGCTCTGATCGATCTCGAGATCGACACATTCGCGCGATTCAATATTACATTGAACTCCATTTAAGCCATTGACTCCGTTTAAGTATTACTACAATCGAGTAATTCGGTCTAATTACTGCGACGAAATACGCCTTTTGTTTCCCTCTCCCCTCGTCGCGCCAATTGAAACCAGAAATAAGTCTGACACCATGAATCGATCGGGCGATCTCCCTTTCCCCCTTCCTCCCCTTCTTACTCTCCCTCTCGGGAAAGTTTGCAACGAAGCAATAAGAAATTAACGGCAGCGGCAAGAGCGAATTTGATTCCGAGTGTGTGCTGCGAAATCGAGTGCGTTATTTTGACACGTGTAATTAATTGCTCTCTTTCTTTCTCTTACGTTTCTCGTCGTTTTCAATCGTTTAATTCGTTTCAACACGGCATTTAACACGCTTAAACGTATCACACATCACGTGAGTCAAAGCGACCGAGAAAGCAGCCGCAAGTGCACGCTCGTGCGTGTCAAAGTAACACGCTCGCGACTCGCAATGCGGGAATGCGCTCGCACGCATTTTCCATTACAACCGCTTTACAGGCCGCCGATAAGAGGAATTTCAGCGCAAGTGCCCGCCTGTAATCGCCAGCGCGCGCGCGGCTTCACTCCGTTTGCGCGATATTGCACGACATATCATTAAAGTATGTATCGGCTGTTATCGCAATCGCGGCGCAGCCGCGATCTATGCGAGAGATGTAACACGCGAGTTAGCGTGTGTGAGTCGCGCGATCTTTCATCGCGCGAGTTACGTATGTAAGCAACGGAGATGTAATTATTCCGAGTCCGGCCGAGCATCGCGGCCGACTCGAGAACGCGCAGCATCGGTGCGGCGCTAATTGCGGAAGCTATTTACGGCTTCGCCTCGTAACGGCCGCGTAACGACCCAATTAATGGCGTTTAATTACTGTCGTAGCTCGTTACAGTGTCTCGTTCTCTGTCGGGGCCCGCGGGATTCTCGGCGGTCGGCCGCGACATTTGCCGCGGTTAGCATGGACAAACGTTTGATAACGCGCCGGTTGATAAACCACTGCGTCCGCATATCTTCCGGCGTGTTTGCTTTCGGTGAGGTCGTAAGGAGAACGTGCCGTGCGATTATTTATTTTCAGGCACGCGGTGTATGCGGAGTGTCCTCCAACTTTAATTTCATGTATTCATTCGGCTTCACGGAGGAGACAGGTGGCAGAAGAATTCCTGGCTCGAGGGACTGTCGGTGGTGTCTAAGTTATATTGAATATTTATTTGGATAAAATTCGCGCGCACGCGCGCGCACGTGTGTGTGTGTGTGTGTGTCGCTCGCCTTCGCAGTCCAGGGTTGTGAGAACATTTGTGTGCTCCCTGTAGATTTCGTAATCACACATGGAGAGGAAAGATTGTTCGATGCGACGCGACGCGACGCGACGCGACGCGATGAACGAACCGATCGTTCGAAGTGAATGGAATCGTCGGCTCGGCTTGGAGGAACCGAATCTGGCTCACGAGAAACGGAAATTCCGTTCTCAACGAGGACGCGTTGTCATTTGTTTGTTGTTTCATTCAATCAATCTTCGTTCCTCGTGTGGTTTTCAAGCGGAGAGAGAGAGAGAGAGAGAGAGAGAGAGAGAGAGAGAGAGAGAGAGAGAGAGAGAGAAAACGGACGTTGCATATATCGCGATACAAAGATTACAAGTCGCAAGTGGTCTCTCCTTTAAATCGTACTTGTGAATAGCGCTGTACACACGCACATCGAGACGCCGTTGCATCATCGGCCACCAAAACACGCACTCGCAACGCGCACGCGGATCCTCGTTACGCGCCGCGGCACTTGCTGCACGGGTGGTGGTGGTATTCCACCTACCACCGTGTGTGACACGTGTTACACGTCCCGTCGCGGCAGCAGTCGATCGATCGCCTTTCGGAAAACAGTGTAGCCTCAATTATGATAATCGATCGATGGAACCGCGAGAGAGAGAGAGAGAGAGAGAGAGAGAGAGAGAGAGAGAGAGAGAGAGAGCAAACAGAATTTACATGCGATATAAATCCGACATGCATGAAACGCTTTTCGACAGAGAGCGAAGGACTGCAGTTTCCACCTGGTCGACATGCACACGCATGCGTGCACGCGCGCGCGCGTTTCAAAGAACCAACTATTGAGAAACTGTGTGATATTGTATAATATAATGATATGGATGGAAAAAAAATATTGTAAGCAAAAATCACAGCAAAATGTTGGTAAGTAATCTCTCGGGCCCCACATTTGTTTGAAAATATCTCAAAGATATATGATTGCGTTGATTTTTTTAGCGTGCAATATTTGATCGCTTGAATGTTTTGTCGTTTTCCTCTTTTTGTTTTATTTATTACTCTTGTAATAATACATACTATATAGTATCGATACTATATAGCTCTAGCTTTATAAAGAATATTACAAAAAGGGATATAATTTTACTCTCCGTAATTCTTTTTACTACAGTACTCTCGGCCTGTGTACGGAATCTTAGAGAAAATTCAGCATTAACTTTTCACGGTCTCTCAGGCTGAAAAGCCGCGCCGTCAATTTTACGCTCCTCCGCAAAAATTCCGCTCACTCCTCGCTCACCATAATTGTCGGTTGTATCCGACTCACACACTGCTCAGCCCTCCTCTCGCCGGGGGACTCCTAAATCGCCGACGTTGAATAAACATAGAAAAAAAGAGAGGTTCACGTTAACCTCCGACGCGTGTGTCAAGGACATCGCGGCAGCGGAGCCTTACATCCTGGCCTGGTCCGGATCGAGAGCGCGTACCTCACGCAGGCACGCATGTGCCTACGTACCCCGCGAGCGAGCTCACCTCCTCTTCTTCTTCTTTCCTCAATAGGCTTTCGAGCGAGTGGACCACGACGCCCGCTCGCGCGGTGGGAGATCCCGAGGAGACCTCGGCAGGGGGAGGACCAAACACACACGCGCGCGCGAACTCGGAGAACAGCGATATATGAAGGCGAAACTCGCGCACGTCGCGCACTCGATCGCCCGGAAAGTCTCTCTCTCACACGTGGTAGTCATCACTCCGGCAGGAAGCGGTGGTCCTCCTCTTTGCGTGCTGTCTCTTCAGCTGTGCTCTCGTGAGCAGACCGCTCCGTGTCGTTTCGCTAGCTCGCTAGTTCGCCGACCACCCGCCGTATCAGCCTCCTCCGCGGCTCGCAGGGTCCAACCAAGACAAGTCTTTGCGTGAGTTCGTTCGGCGAGGGCGAATCTCTCGAAGGCGAGTTTCCTCCAGGAGGCGATTTCCCGCTGTAGCGACCGTCGCGAGTGTGAGTTTCAACCACTCTTCGTCGCGGAGAACGTCCACTCGCTCGAGAAGGTCGTAGGAGGACCCGCACGCGGGGGTGGTGATCGAGGAACGATCATGAGCAAACCGTGGAAAGGTACGTGTTGTGAAAGGGAAAGTCAAGCGTCGAACGTTGAAGAGGAACTTGAAGAGAGTCTCGGGAGACCGATGTGAGTGGTTCGTCAGACGATCGTGGGGTCGGGGGATAGCGAAGACGAGGAGAGAGACGAGGAATGTGTCTCGGCTAGAACTCGTTAAGAATGCGTCGTCATCGCGATGCTCGTGCGAACCGTCGCGGGCGATTTGCATAAAGCAGGAAGAAAATATCGTTCCCATTTTCGTACCGGCGGCGAACTAAACAGGACTAAACGTCATTCGTGCCGATGTTTTTCTACTTTACATAAGATCGTCCCCAGAAGATAAGACGCGGACATCTTGTTCTCTCTTTTTTCTCTTTCTTTCAAGCACGTGCGCGCGTGTGTGTTTGAAGGAGGACGGTCGATTAACGCGCGGCGCTACGGCGGACGGAGGAATTCAAGGTAGCGTCGCTCGTGACGATGCATGTGAACGAAGATGCGCGTCGCTTATTGACAGAATAGTAAATTACACGGGTAAACTGCGCGCGGTTCCGCTCCTGTCACGATCCAGAACACCGCCGGCGCGTAGCAGGTGTCGCGGAACGGAGAATGCAAATGTGGAAGATTCCGTCGTCGCTCGGTCGGCATCGAACCCCGGCGCGATCGAACACTGGAGAATTGCCGAAATCGAACTGCAAAATGGAACATTTCCGCGGAGTGGATTTCAGCGTAGTGTTTGAGCATGTATTAACGGCCGGATCATCGCGTTATCGGCCGCGTGTATCATTTGGCAGAAAGCAGCGGCGCTCAACGCTCTCTAAAACGAAAGAACGGTCGCCAATTCACGGCCAATTGGCGGCCAATTTATCTTGGACTGTTTTCGTGCGTTTTATTCGCCTGCCGCATTTACCAGCGGCGCTTTTTCATCACGAGTCTACACACTCGGTGTATCCTTCGCTTCGCCGCGCTCGCGACGAGACGCCACTCGGGCATGTGTTGTGTCCGTGGCTCTGATATCTTGATCAGAGCACGATAAACATTCTCTCTTGTTTGCCCTCATCCCACTTCAACTGGTTTGATCATTACATGACCGTTTAATCTATTAGATTAAGAGATTATCTAATAAATTAGATCCATCTGTCCAATCTCTTGTCGTCGATCTGGTTACGTAGGTCGTGAGTTGACGGATTACGAAGGTTCGTACATACGTCAGATCGACAGATTACGGTCCAAATTTATGCGATTGGAGAGCATAAAGTCCCTCAAGATATTATCTTAGAATCATCTGGATTCCTCACCAGGCAAGACTAAATTACACATCGATAAACGTTGTTGTTAAATGTCCTTAAATGAGACAGATTGCTGTATTTAGGAGTTGAAAAGAAAAAATTATGCGGCTTTCCTACAGGAAAACACACGAGTCGCGTGTCACGAGAGAACGAAAGATCTCAACTGAAGTCCGTCGCGAGGCGCGTCCGGTCAATTTGTCCGAAAATAATTCGCATCTCGTTCTCTCGCAGGCGTGAAGGAGTTCGTCGGCCTGGAGGAGGTCACCAAGCTGGACTTTCTGGTGATGCTGTTCGCCGAAACCCTGGGCACGTTCCTGCTGGTCCTCATAGGATGCGCCTCCTGCATCACGTGGGTGGCGACGACGCCGCCGACCGTCGTGCACATCGCGTTCACCTTCGGCCTCGCGGTAGCGAGCTTGGCGCAGGTGAGCCGAGTCGCGGAATCGCGAACCGACGCACGCATGTGTGCTGCATGCGCATGCGTGCGAAATGAACGAACGGGAGCCGCGATTCTCCGCGAGAAACGGACAATTTTCTGCGGAACGAAACGCACTCGTCTCGGCTCGGCGAGGCGTAAAATCCGGCGGGATACGCCGCGAGCGACGTGTCGTGTCTTCTTTCTCTTTTACTTCTTCTTTTTGTGTCCCACTACGCCTCTCATACCGCGTCTCGCGCGTGCGACGACGCGCGTGTGACAAAAACAACGTTCTCCATTAAAAGGCAATTAGAATTCAGACGCTATAATTAATCCGCGATGCGAAGACACACATCGTGAGCGGACGCGCCGGCGAATTCAACGACGATTAAAAAACGACGCGGCACGACGCGAGAACTTCCCGCTTTATAAGAAGATCTGGAAGAAGTTTTGGAAACGGCGGCTTAAAGGTTTTCGCGGTATTATCCTCTAGCCATATCTCGACGATCGTTCACTCTGCGAGATTTGCATGCACGCGAAGAAAAAACGCACGTGCGTGTGTATCGCCGACGTCGCCATCATGCGTTGTCGTGCGCATCGCGATTAATAATTATTATTTAACATACGGCTGGGTCGTCTCTCGGCTTCTTGTAAATAACATCTGGCTGACGCGAGCCTGCTCTACGACGAGGTCGTGCGAAGCGGAACGATCGCGCGTTCGCGCATCTCGAAGTCTCGCATTCTCGAATTCAAGCCGAAATTGCGCTGCTGCATTTGCCTTCGCGGCCGCGAAATAACAACAATGAGATAAATTCCATGCGGTGTTTCGCGTGTTTTATAGCAGGTAGCGCGGCTACCTCGCGCACGTTTTATCGCCCCTTTTATAGCGATGTCGTAATCGCGATAACAGTTGCAGCGAATATTTCGTCGCTGACGTTCTTAGCGAACAATGTAGCTGGGGAGTTCATTCGCGAGCGATAGTCCAAGCGGATTTTTCGTATCGCCAGTACGTGTCGTTCCAAGCATTCAGGTGGAAGTACATGGCAAGAGCCGTGGCAAGAACCGCAAGCCGTGCACGCGGTTTTTTATTCGAACACTCTGCGTCTCGGGATCGAGACAGAGACAGAGTGGGGGGCTCCATTCACTCGGCTAAAATTTCGCGAGTCAAGCCGATCAGCCTAATCGCTCTCTCACTCTCGTTCCGTGAATCGAGCTTTTTCCTCGTCGGGAATCAACCGGCCGCGGTCTTGATTTATCGCCGTACAATCCGAACGACAAGGCGTGTTGCGTAAGAGCGATCGGTCAACATTTCACGGAGAAAATAACGACAGCGGCGGAACAATCTGCCGAGGAAGGAAGTCTGGTTATGTTGTTTTGCCGCTGATTGAGCCGAGATTTCATTCGGAACCCGAAACGCGATCGCGCCCGGCGTGTTGCGACGAAATTTTTTCGTCGCGGCGAAACTGCTCTCTTGCGAGAATCTCCGCTCGTACGAAACACCGGTTGTGCGATTTCAATGCGAATTTCTTGCCGTTCCGGAGAGGCTCGCTAGCGGCCGAAGATGAGATAACGTCGAGCGACGCCGGCAAGCGAAGCAGGCAATCTTCAATCGCTGCTCGATTGAAGTGAGAGAGAGAGAGAGAGAGAGAGAGAGAGAGAGAGAGAGAGAGAGAGAGAGAGAGAGAGAGAGAGAGAGAGAGAGAGAGAGACGTCCCGGGTGTATCCGTTCGCACAGTATCGATAGCAACGACGCCATTCGCGGCGTGATCAATCCTTATCAGCGTCGATCGTCTGAATTGCCTCGTTGCGAAATCGCAAAATCGAGAAGCGGGAGAGCTTCTCCCGATTTTATCTACGTAATCGTCTTCGATTTTGCGCGCATCCCGTCGGTCGTTCCTCCGTTTCGCGGAGGGTCGGGAAGCCCGCGCGGGGAAAGGTCCTCGGAAAGTTTCTCGCCGCCAATTTCTCTCTGTCGACTGATCTCGCGGATCTGTTGCGACGCGGTGGCGGATACTCGGGCGACGCGGGATCGTTAGTCGCGAGTGAAGACACTGAAGCTGGATAGACGAGAAAAGAGCGAGGATCATCTTTTTAAATCCCGCCCGGCTCGTCCTTTCGAATTCGCGGGGCTGACCTCGTCCTCGAAACAATTTATAGCGCGCTGTCGACACGCGAACTTTCGGCGAACGTCGGCGTCGATTTGTGGAGAACACTCGAGCAGCCTCCTTATATCAATCAGAGCCTGCGCGACGATCGCGCGAGGATGCGTACGGCTGCGCCGTCCGGCGAGGACATTTCCGAGGATTGTCGCAATCCTCGGCGTGGGAAGCCCGAAATAAATCGACATCGCGCGGTCGAATCTCATGTTCGCACGTTACGTACTCCGTCTCGTCTCGACTCGTCTCTTCTCGAATGGACAAATAAATCAACGGAGTCCTGCCTGCAATTGACAGTTGTAAATTTTCCAGCGAGACGTTTCTCGCTCGTTTCGGGGCATTTCCCGACATTCCCGCGGGCAGTCTCGACCTCGAATTCGGAATTCGAGACTCTGACTCGGGATCGATGTTCCCGTCTCTCCCGAGAAATGAGATCGAAAGCGCACAAACTTCGGCTTAGCCACGACGACATACGACGATTTTAATTGAAGCGCGCGTGCACACACACACACACACACATACACAGGTGTACGCGCGCGCGCGCGCGCGCACGCAGGCGGACACGCATTCGCGTGTGGGCCCGCTCGCGCGAACGGGCCCGCCGTGGAAGGGTAAATAAGGCCGCCGGTTCGCCCAAGGGGGTCTAACTCTGTCCGGAGATGGTGCAATTCTGCCCCGAAGGCTCTGACAACCTACTCGAGAGCTCCGCGCCGCCGGAGCAGCACACTCTTATTCCGTGTGCGTCGCCCTTTTGATACTTCACTTCACTTTCCGACAGCCCGCGGCGCGGATGCGAGTGTCTACAGGGTGCTCCAGAATCCACACGGTTCCTTTTTCTTTTCTACCTTCTTCGTTACCGTCTGCCTTACCGTCTGCCTTACCTCGGACCGGACAGCGAGCTGTCGGTCGAGCGGAAATGGAGAATCTCTCTTCCGCTCGCCGTTCCGTTCGGCCTTACACCTCTCATCGATGGCCTCGTCGATCCGGCTCTCGTCCCGGCTGATATTAGTAACGATAATAAATTTCTAGATCGAGTATCTCTAGATAGAGCGGTACGAATTTGTACAAGTGGCCGTCGCTCAGTAAGAAAGCTGCCGTTAATGAAGAGGTGAGACTCCTCCGCGCCGCGCCGGCGGGAATTCTCCAACAGACACACCGAGGTATTGAGCGACGCTGAAAAAATATTTGAGAGACACCGCACTGTGGCAGGCATGCCGCGTGCGTATGTGTGTCGTCTCTCTGTGTTTATCTAGATGAAATAATTGTCGGGTAATTATCGCGGATCTAGTGCGCGTCGAGAGGGGTCTCTCTCGTGGCGCCTTGATTGCGCGCCAGCCGCACTCGTCGCCGCAATAAATCGTCGCTTGAGTGACGAGCTTCGCTATTAGGGACTCGAGATTAATTGATTAGTCACAAAGGAGGAGACAAAAGGTACAGAAATCCGCATCGTTATCGCGCATCGTTATCCTCATTGTTGTTCCGCACCGCTTCTCTCACTGCGATTCTGCGTCTGTTGACTTTAGTACTGTACGTATTTCAGTATTGGTGGGACACGAGACAAACGAATTGTCGCCGTCGTGCGCCGCGAGATAATTAACGAGGTACTTGAGCGTAATTAATCGTGATTTAAGTGTGTCCTTGGTGTCCTCCTGTACGAAAGTTCGTCGAGCGTTTCGTCGAGCTTGATAAATACGAAGAGCGTACTCCTCCGTGTGCAACACGGGCATTCCCGAGATGCAGGCCCGGTAAAAAGCGCAACGTCGCACTTTTCATTAGCTTGCGAAACACGCGATTCGCCACGATTAAAATCGTGTAACCTCGCGACGCGCTCGTCTCTCTCTCTCTCTCTCTCTCTCTCTCTCTCTCTCTCTCTCTCTCTCTCTTTCTGTCTCCTCCTCCTTTGTTTGTTGTTATTGCCGAGAATCATTCGAGAATCATCAACAGATACAACATACACGTTAAGTATTTTCTCTCTTGAATTGTTCGTCCCTTAAATCTAAACGTCTAATCGTGAGATACTAGTTGGAATTTTCCGTTTGCAATTGGAGCGTCGGTCGGGATTCTTTGCACGCGATCGATTCTCGATTCTTCGATCAAAATCAGACATTGATTAGAGACTTTGATTGAGGCTTGGGCAATTAAAAGGGACAAATGTTCGATCGAGATCAGCATTAACGTCAGCTTAAACTGAAGTCTCATGTCCAGAAAATTCAACGATTTGTGACGCGTCTCGAGTTTTAGGCCCGGAGACGTGCGCCCGCTTCGCGAGAGAGGAGCCCAAAGACAAAAAGGAGCAGCTCGCGATTGTTGCGATTGTGGCTTGCGCAAGCGTTATTATATTAAAATCCCCTCTGTGCACTCGCAACTTCGTGCAGCGCGACCATTCCTCATCCTTGTACTTCGTCATCTTTCTCCCGTACGCCGACCAAGAATTACGGTGTTAAAAGGGGAAAAAAAAGGTCGGGATATCGCGGCGTAAAGGAAGAGGATGAGGGCGGCGAGAACGACGAGAACGGGAAGAAGTACCGGTGAGAGTGAAAGAGACAGCGAGAGAGACAGCGAGAGAGAGAGAGAGAGAGAGAGAGAGAGAGAGAGAGAAAAAGAAGGAGACGCACAGATGTGCAGAGTCACAGTCGATCCTGTTCCGAATGCAAATCGCAACCGTATCTCGCTCCGTATTATACGCAAATGCGTGACCGCACTTCAGTATGCGCGAGCGGCGAGAAGGTGCTCGCTTGCGCAACGTCAGATGCAGCAACAGTGACTCAAAACATTGGCCGCTGCATCGGTAAACGAGAGAGTATGAGAGAGATTCTAGAAGCTCTCCGAGACAAATTGATATTCCCGCGCCCGT